GTAGAAGATTTTTGTGGTAAAGAGGCCGTCGAATTACTTAAATTTCAGCTGATCGATTCTTCAATGGATTTGATTGAAGTCGATGATGTCTTCTCCACTCTTCAAATCGAATCAACTCAAACAACACCAATCAAAGAATTTTTGAGTATTCCAAGCAAAAACAATTTAGAAAACTATTCATTTTTTGTTATGGCTGGTATCCGCGTGAAACTCGAAAAATTTATTCGTTCGCTGTGTGCTCTTCTTTCATCTACTGATCCTTCATCGTTAGTAAACATCAAGCCTTTAACAATTTCATCTGAACTTCTTCAGCAATATCCGTTCTTATTAGAACTAACATATTGTCTAGAAAGGCATTTATTAACAGATTCTTCATTGGATTTTATATCAAATATGTTATCAAACATCATATGTTCAAAAAATGCCTTTCGCTATGAACAATCGATGAAAGAATTCGCTGCCTCCCTATACATTCTAGGAGGCCGTACGGTTTATGAATTCATTCTGTTGAATATTCCAGGATCGATTCCTAGTTTTAGTATTTTACGATCAATTTTGATAACTTCTAAAAAGCATTTCATTGAAGGTGAATTTCAATATGAACGTTTCAAGGACTTTATTGATTCATTCGATTGTAAGTACGCATTCTGTGGAGAAGACAGTACTGCGGTGGTACCAACAGTTTCTTCTGACTCACGTTCGAACTCTTTTGTTGGGTTTAACTTGTCCACGCTACTTTTCTACCAGTTCATTTGGTGAACTTGAAACTTGGTATGAAGAAATAGACAAATCATCTCTTATCAATGTACATGTGATTCAACCAATATGTCCTATCGGTCAAATATCACCACCGCCATTCCCTCTTGCTGCTTACGGTACCAACAGTAAATATACAGCTAAAGATGTTCTCGACCGATGGTCAAGTATTTTTGATACATGTATGAATCAAAATATTCGAATTTTAGACTTCTCAGCAGATTGTGATCCAAAACAAATGAAAGCAATGCGGGACTCCATGGGATTTGAAGAACATCCTAATCGTTTCGAAATTTCTTTACTTAAAGTGAGTGAACAAGTATAATTAGTTTCATATAAAAAAGAAAATCAATCGGGATTCGAGTAAACGATTATAATTGTACGGATTGATGATTTTCTTCATATTACTTAGAGGATAATAAATGTCTTCGGTGTCTATTTATAGGTTGACGAAGTATTTGTTCTCATATAAATCTATTTTATTTCTTGAGAAATTAAAAATAATACAATAATCACTTTCAATTATCGTTCTTAGAAAAAAAAATCTGAAAATATCTTTCATCAGCTATCACCTATCATTGAATTTTTCGGAAAACAATATTAGTATTCCAGTACAATAAAAACAATGTTCAAGCACATGAATTTATTCTTATTCTTGTTTTCCATTGTTTAGAAAACTTCATGGTTTTTTTTTGAGATCATCACAGCTATTTGTATGTTTACAAGATGCGCCACATTTATGTACTAAGCTGCGCAACCGTCTTTTGCCTTCAAAAACAATTTTATTAATAGGGAAAAGGTATGCCAGCATTAAACATCTCGTGGAATTGATTGAGAACCATTCAAAGATCGATCATAGATTAGCCATATCAGATGTTTGCCCAAAGGACAAACAAAATTATTCATCCTGCGAAAAGATCACGAGTGATGCTGTTTTTTCTTCTATTAAAAATGTTTCGAATTCTCAAGCAACCCAAGCTTATCTACAAGTAATATTTTTTGCTTTTTCTAAGTATGGAGTCGTTAGATATGATATAATCGAGGTAGTTCTCTTTCAAAATATTATGTATGACATAACGAAAGTTGTTTAAAAGTTTTCGCTACCTCATTACTGAGTACTGCTGAACGGTCAAATTTTATTAATTTCATTTTGATAGGTCATAAAATGTGTTCATTTGGCCTTTATCGACCAAAGCACTAATATAATTGATCGTCTTTACTATGCTTGGTGTTCAGTTTTTATTATACGGATCTGGTCTGCGTGGTTACACGAGGCAGCGGCTGATGAACTTAAGAAGAGAGCTTCGAATTTGCTCTCAAGTGACGCTGGTAGAATTATTGCAAAAAAGAACTTCTTTATCATAGTACCTGCTCTTTTCTCACTCGAACTGAATGCACATAGCCTGACATATCTGATTGTTCTGTGGGCTGAACAGAAAATTACTGAAGAAGCATTAAATGCTTTTTTATGTAATTCACAAGTATGCGAAAGTACTTTCCGTGCAGCTCGTTCGATGTCCGATCCATTTTCATCTGTGGTGAACTTTACTGTGCACGAGTTTCTTCAGCGTGTCGAGAAACTCGCTGTTCTTCAAAGTGTCAAGTGTTCGTCTGAATCCAAGAACAATAATATTAGATTTTCCAAACATCACAAACAATCTAAACAACATTTTCAAGTACATTCAACGTCTACAATATCAACTACGATTACAGAACAATTCATTGAAGAAACAGTTTTTAATGCTTACATTAAAGCTAGTCAGATTCTATCTCAATGTGAATGTGAACTTTCTAATGTTAATCCTCATGATATGATGCAATCTTTTGAAGAAATGAATAATTTAGCATACAAAAGATTATCAAGATCAATATGTACAACTTCCAATAAAAATTCTTCTGAATCATATGATTATGAAGATGACAATGAGGGCGATGGTGAAGATCAGGATGCAGATGAAGAGGAAAACGAAAATGATGATAATGAAAAACATCAACCTAACCAGGAATCTATTGAGAATGATATCATGAATGAAAATGATGAACTAACGTCAATGGATGAATTTGGTCTTGATTGTCTTCCAAATGTATCTAGTTCCACCATTCGAGGGATGCGTTTATTCGATTCTGTCAATAGTAATCAATCAGACTCTTTCTTTTCCGTTGAAGTCAATGGTCGCATCAAATACATGCAAAAAACAGACTGCAAACTGGTACTTTTCAAAAACAAAACCTATCTTGTCTTCTGATCGGTTGAAAAGGGTACAACAGATAATATAATTTTTTTTTCTTCTATTGTTTTTCAATATCATTTTGCAATATAAGAAAAAAGTTATAAACTACCTTTTTATGCAATGTTATTAGAGAATGAACTTAAGTCCAGTCCATCTCACACTATGATCGTTGACACATTTTACTATAAGATATTCAGAGATAGCATCTCTACAAGACATCTATGGAAGTATATATATTGAAATATGAAATATTTCCTATGGATCAAGTTAAAGTATGACCCACTGTATCTTTATTAATTTTCTATTTTACATAATTGTTTCAGCAATGAATTTACCAAAAACCTCTTTCCGGTCTAGAGAAACACTTGATTCTAGTGGATATAGATTCGCTACATTTAATCCCTTTATGGAAAGAGAAACAAAGATCATAATCAATCCGAAATTCAGCTACTATGATGAATGATGTATATCAGTTAAGATCACTCGAGTTGATTCAAACTCACCCAAGCTCACAATTTGTCGATTCCCCCTTGATCACGAACCAAAACTCATCCGTGACACAAGAATGAAAACGCTTCATACTCCTTGAAAATTCTGCTAAAAGTCCTTATGCTTACTAGCATATCAACTGGCACTGTCGTTTTTCAGAGCATCCACTACAAAAACATGAGTTCAGCTGAACTTTTAGCTCCAAATAAATTATACTAGATCTGATATGTAATCGGAATGTGTCACATTAGTGACGCTCCTATTGAAAGTATCCATCAGATTAGACAGCTAATTTGAATATACTTGAATACATTCGAGCACGTGAATGAACACAGACAAGGACATATATCAAGCAGAAAAATTCATTTTATTTCATTCAATTTTGCTTCCGATAGAGTGAATATAAACTCTTTGAGTGATGCTTTCCGTTCAATGTACTTTTCAAATATTATGCCCGTACAGAAAAACTATACTCATACTTTATTTGAAAATATTTCTTAATTTTTTGCCACTTCTAATCTCTACTCAAACCCATCAGATGTACACTTTTGACATTTTTCCAATGAATCCTAACAACTTGACGGGTTTCTTCAAAGAATTGTCAAGGGCAGTGACTAGTCACTGGTCGGTTATCCACTGCCATGTTTAATTCTATTCCTCTATAAGACCATCGTTTTTTTTTGATTTACATTCCATATGATCCCAGACTGTGGTTACTTTGAAAAATCGTTAGATTTGTAGTACGAGAATTTCTAAAGCGAAGTGTTCTTGTGAACTATTCTTTATTTCTTCAATTTTATTGTCTAGCTAGAAAATTACAGTTTTATTGGAATTTCTCATCAATGAAAAACCTTAGTGTAGTATTCTTTAGAAAAAAGTCTACTTTTTAGACAGATATTTGTTAAAGTGAATCCATAGTGCACGTAAGCAATGAATTGTTTATTATCTATTTAACATGAAAAAAAAGAGCTGATCTTATTTATACATATTTATCTTTTTTATATTACTTTCTTCAAATTATAGCGGTTAGACATTTCACGAGTTGGAACTCTTCAAAAAAAGAAATATGAATAATTGAATACTTCGCCAGAAAACAAAGATAACGCAGAGTAGACTTACATACCGATCATGTTGGATTGACTAAAACTAAGCTTTGAGTTTGAGAAGTACCTATTGGCTTGGATACGAATACGAATGGGACAAGGAGGAATCGACTCATTGAAATCACTGTAACTCAGTGTAAATCATTTAAGATCACCAGTTTTTATCCGAAAAAGAAAAAAAATTGTTACAGTCGCAAGATAGCTACTATATACTCCTTAAAAAATCGATTTATTACCGAGCTTGTCTCCAGGGTGAAGAACCTTTGGGGTTTTGTATCGATTTTCCGAACCGAAAAAGAAATCTCGGATCTTGATCTGCTGAACCGTTTTAGATTCCTCAAATCGGTACGAAAACTCAAAGTTCTTTTATTTTACTATGTAACTTGATATTTTGCAAAAATTCATATCCAAGATTTTTCAATTGTTTTGACTTGAGTAAAAAAAACGTCATCCTAGCATACAGTTATGGAATATTTTTTCTTAGATCTTCGAGCATCACATATATTTCTTCCTTTCTCGATTAATTAAGACGTAAGGTGATTCGATAAACACTAACATATTCTAAACGAATAATGTTTTTGTCCTTATTAGATAGATTTGATTGCAAGGGAAGAAAAGAGTGTTGTACTCATGCTGTATATCTAGTTGAGATAAAATGATCGAAAATGCTTGTATTGTCACTCTGTTCTGTCCTTTTTTTGGGATCAATTATTTTCATCTGATCATCGTTTAGCTATAATTAGGAGTAGCTGGTAGAAGTCAAAGCAGGGAGATGGTATTTTCAAAATCAGGAGAAAAGTTTAAATAAACGTAGAGACAATTCGAAGCAGTCAAAGTTAAATACAAGAAGTACTGAACAGTTTTTTTGGGCTAAGAAAATCACAGACGACTACCCATATCGATTGGTTTTTTTTATAATAGTTGAGCATTTAGACAAGTTTACAAAGTTTTAGAAAAGTGGAAACTATTTGATGGAACATGAAGTTATCAGTGACTACCCACAAATAAAAATATACCATAGATTTCTTTTATTTTACGTGGCAAGCATGAAGAAAACGGTGTTTGGGTACTGAAAAGAATGTCACTTTTGAAGTTTTTCGCTTTCGTCAATGAACAGTGATATAGTCATACAGAATATTTCGTTTATTTAATTTATTATCAAAACGAAGGTATTATTCTGACGGACATGATCTTTTTTTCATAGATGAAATCGTAAGTCTCAACACATAACTTACATTTCATCATGTTTATTTGATTCTTCAAGTTACTCGAGCAGCGTGGGATACTAAAACTATTAATATGTTAATGTTAAGCTCTTCATAAGAGAAACAATTTTAATTTAAACTCATAAAATATTTTTCGATCTAAGCTTCTCAGACAATGAAATCACGCTCGCGTCTATCTCTAATCGAATTCGATTATAATCAGAATCAATCAGACATTGTTAACCTAAGATATAGAGTTTTTTTAATCGAATTCAAACTCATTAAGGTATCTACAAT